TTACCCTCATTCCATGCACTGGAGTTAAGTGTCTTATGGTTAAATGTCTTAAATATCTGGTAACCAGAACGAGGCAGCCTTCAGCAGTACATCAGAATATTAGTGACCATGAATAATGTTTGGTGTAATGAGTACTGAGTAAATGTAGTCCTCCTGATGGGGACAACAGTGCCTCTGTTCAGTGATCATCTCAATGTCTTTCATATTCAAGTGTTGCAACCCCATGCGTGTGGAGGCTGTTGGTGCAGGGCAGTCACTGGGGCAGCAGTGGTGAGTGTGCTGGCTGGGTGGTTGGAGCTGAGGATGTCAGGTGAGTCCAGTGTTGTAAAGAACATCACGAGCTCTTACTGATGGGAGAGAAGCTGTCCTTGGGGATGACTGCAACAGCAGCATAGGAACTTCCCCTGTTTCAGGGGAGAAATTCAGGGGTCAGAAATTGTCTCCTTGTTCAGTTTGGATAGGAGGCTCTCAGGAGTTTGCTTCTCCCTTGTACATCTGTTCCCTGGCCAGGAGGCACAAGAAAAACTCATGCTCGCATATCTAATCCAGTTTTGGTAGGTTGCTCACTCTTCTGGTGAGCGTACGTGGATTAAACCACAGGAATGAACACTGAGAGTGCTCTTTGGCCACTCCTGTGTTCAGTCCATTCCCTACCATCTCCTGGCTGTGGCAGTCTCCAGTGGAGAAGTGGTAGGAAGTTACATCTCCTCTGCCAATGTCTATGTCTTTATAGTCCTTATTTTACTGTCTCTGCTGGACTAACCAAAATAAAATGCAGTTAAGGTGCAGTCATTTAAGTTCCCACTTTTGACTGTCACAGTTGCAGAGAACAGATCCAGTAAGAAATCAAAAAGGCATATCTTTGTGTGGCAGTGGGGCCATGGATGTTGTAAATAAGGGATTCCAGTAGTGTTATTTGAATAAGTAGAGTTGCTGACAGACTATGAGATTATTTTTTGGGGAAGGTGAAATCCTGATTTGCTTCAAAGCCTTTGTCTGCCTGGCAGGCTGGCTTCTGCCTACAGCTTGGCATTTGTTGATTTTAGTTGTGTAAGGACTCAGTTGCTACGGTGCTACTCAGTTGCTGGGTGTAGCAGCCTGTGGTGTTCACGTTGCAAGCTCTGGGCAGCTCTTGGCTCTTCAGAGCCTGATTATGAGCTGAATATATACACGATACCTGGGCTGTATATTTACAGGCCCTTCCTTCCTTGTGGCAGTGCTGGGACTGTGATAAGTGGGAGGAGGCCCACTGGAAATCTACTGAAGCAGGTCTAATTGTACCAAATACAGCAGCTCAGTAGAGTAGAAAATAGTCCTTATACATCTACCCGAAGAAGATAATGACCTTTTAAATAACAGAAGCAATTTTATTTCAATACCCCAATTACTCTGAACTCTCAAATGTCAAAGTGCCAAGCACTCTCAAAATAACTTAATTTAGACATTTATAGCACTCAGACACTGCTAGTTTCTTATCTAACCTAATTATGGGTTGTACAGGAAATTGCAAAGCATCCCAATTAATGTTATTTTTTATAGTGATACATAGGAGTGGCCTTTGCCATTTGCCATCATCATGTGCACAGTGATTTACTAATTTTGGCTTTTGAGTTAGTTCCCTAGCAGGATAGAGCTCTTCTATCCTCTGGTTGCTCTTTGAGAGCAAGCAAGGAGGAAGTAAAGGTAGAAGTGAGAATAGCTATGTTTGCCTGAGGGAGTTGAAGGGCATGTTTTCCTATGAGAGCAGAGTTCAGTTGCAAAGCAGGACCTTTTAAGATGAAGTGCCATGTAGAATAATAAAGGCTGGCTGGGAAAATTGTTGATTTTCCTCTGATCTGGGTACCTAGGCCAGGATTCTTGTTCTGTCTCCCATGGGACTAGTTCAGGGGAAAGAGATGTGTAAAGCTGCTTAACTGGCTGCCTGAAAAATCTCTTCACAGACAGTGCTGAGCAGTTTCCCTTCTTATTCCTATGCACAGCAATCAGAATCAGAGGTGGAGGAAATGTTGCACCACTGAGCAGTATCCAGTGACTTCTTGTTTGCTTTCCTGGTAAAGGGAGAACATGCATCCAGTTACTATGTTTGAAAGTGATAGCTGTTGCCCGTCCCCATGTGGTTTTTGCTCTGTATATTTTATGTGAAGTCTTTGTTCTGTGCTGTCCTCTCCCACCCTCCTCAGTGTCAGGAGAGACAATCTCAGCAGTCAGAGAAGTTCCTGCAGTCAGAGAAGTTCCTGCAGTCCTCTTCTTTTCTGAGGACAACGTGGGGTTGTGAGTAGCAATGTACTGAAGCTGCTGTCAACTGTGCCCAAGACAATGCTGGCCTGGAACAGGAAGGCAAAAGTCCCCAGAGGTGATCTTGTCTTGTGCTGCTCTATGTACAGAGCCCTAATGCACTGTTGTGTTCTCATTCACTTCTTTATGGTAAAATATTGCTGCAGACAAATAGATAGGATTTTAACATGGTTTAACTCAAATTAAATCCATGAGGGAAAGTTTGTGTTCAACTCAACAGCTTACAGTTGGAGAGGGGCACAAGGAACAGGCATACAGGGAGGTAAGAAGTCCCTTTCCCCAGTGTTTTTCCCTAGCCAGGACCACAACCCGAGTGAGATTGCATAGGGACAGTGCATGTAACCTCCTGCTTCCCTGGTGTGAGATGCAGGAGAGTGTCAGATCCTCACAATAAGAAGAAGTGCAATTGCAGTGACTAACTGTGTTATGTGCTAAAATGAAAACCTGAGCCCCTCCTCAGCTGGGGGCTCAAAAAGGGTAGGCAGAACATTTCTGACCAGAGTGTTTGAAGACTGAAAAGCCTCTTGCAGGGTTTGCAAACAGCCCAGCAATTCTGGTAAGGAGCAAGAGAGACAAAATATAGTGCCCAAGACAAGCAAGATTCCTGTCCTACCTAGTGCTATGCAGTCAGTGGAGTAATTTGCTTCACCATGTAGCCTCTGAGAGGAAATGTTGGAATACGAAACTGCTAAAAAGTTTGCTGTAAGAGCTGGGGCAGCCAGGGAGAGGAGGTTGTTTGAGATCCACATGTTGGAACAATGGTGTGTTTTGTGCAGGTGTTTCAGCAGGCATTTTCCTCTGTGGGCTGTGCTCAAAATGGTATCTGGGATGCCAGCTCAGAACCCAACCTAACCATTCCCTAAATTTTCAGGGCTACTTTCTCTGGAATAACTTGTTAATCTTTTCCAGAGAAGAATCTTGGGAATAATTTGTTCTTTACAGAACTGAGGTAGTTAATTCTTTTTTCTATCTTCCCTTCAATACTCTTGAAATATGGATAAGGCTGTTAAGACAAAAGGGAGATGTTCTCTATGTCAACTGGGTAAAAGACAAAAAGATAAAGCCTATGTGCTAGGAAACGTTTTGAAAGATTAGGGCTGTAGAAAGGGATGGTGAGGAGAGTAGGGAACCTTATCACTGTCAGTTTCTAAGAAAAGGTTAGAGCAACTTCTACCATGGTAAGCTGGGCTGAGTTGGTCCAAGATCAAGTAATAGATTAGCTGACATCTCAAAATCTGTCCTATCTCCACTTTCTATTTTTGTTCTGAGAGGAATAACACAAACTCAAGAATCTTCTACTGACACCTAGTCTTTCAATCTAACCTGCCTCCTAACCAAGGTAGTAAAGTGGAATCAAACCAGATGATGGAACAAAGCACATGAAATAAGTATATCATAGATTAGTGCAGAAAACCCAGCAGAGAAAATCGTTATGCATTAGAATTCAGGAATCTTATGTTTTACCCTGGCAGGTTAGTAACCTTTGGGCTTTAGTAGCCCAAAAGGATCTTTGCACCTTGATGTCACTCACCAGAGGTGTTTTGGAGAAGTCTCAAAAAAGCAGAATTTAGCCTACAAATTAAACAGCAAATGCAACCTTATCTGGGCTGAGTCCTGCTATGCCAGCAGAACGTGGCCAAACCCTGGGTAAGGACATAAGTTTATTGAATTCTTAATGAAGAGAACCCCCCAGTTATGTTACAGTTATACTAAAACAAATAATTTGCTTGTAATTACAGAGATAATGACATGCTGACCACACCTACCAATTAGAAAGTTGTAATAAAGAGTAATAAAATACCTTTTCCTTGGGCTGCAGAATCAACCCCCACACAGCCCATGACACTGATATGATTTACTCCTATTTGCTGATGGAGGATTCTCGTAATAAAATTTAATGTGGAGGAACAAGGTGCATTTAACCAAAGCTGTAAACATACCTAATTCTATTTAAAGCTATAGGGTGCAGTAGATTAGCATTTAACAATCTAATCCTAAATTGGTGTGAAGCTAATAGAGCTGTATTTGTTAAAATTACAGCACTAGACCACGTTTTACCAATGGTAACAGAAGGAGTAACCAAAATAGTATGACTCAGCAGACTCTGGCTGCTGCTTAATAAGGTATTAAGAGTCTTCATGGGAGGTCCTGTCATAAAAGAACAGTGGACTGCCTTCAGCTCCACTGCTGTTCTCCTGAAGCCAGAGAGAATTAGGACAGGGACTAATTTGCCCTTGCAGTTCCCTCTTAGAAGGAGCTAAATCCATTTATTCTGCAATTCTCACACTAAAGCATATTATACTCAGTGAAATTTTCTTCTGTGTAGTCTTTCAAGTGAATTACTTTGATACCTAAAGATGTGCAATTAATTGCAAGGTTTCTTTCCCTAGTGATATGATCTGACATTATTACATCTAGGTGAGCATCGTGTAACAAAAGGCATAGGAAGTGTCTGCTCAGGAAGATGGGTGTTCTCCCAAGTAATATTTCTGACCTTGTTTCACTCAGCTGGTCTTTTGCCTTTCAGGATCTTGCTGTCATCAAGTTGTTTACAAATGGAAAACATTTAAAAAGCCTGGAGTTTTCTGTATAATGAAGAATTCAATTCCAAATACTGGGATTTTCTAAATGCCAAGTAAGAGATAAAGACATACCCTTGAATCATTCTTTAGGAAGCAATAAATCCTACACAGACTTGAAGAACATATCTTACAAAAAAAGGTAATTTATTCAGCTCAATTAACTATTATTTTGGGCAATTAGATATCAAACATAAACAAGAATATACAGGATATTAATACATAAAGAATGGTATTAATTAACATGCTGGGCATCAATATACAGTAGAGAATTCTTCTGAACAATGGGCACAATGGCCAGTTGTATGTAAAAGGAATATTTATAACCAAACTTGAAAGTTTTCACAACTAAGTGGTTAAATCACTTATGTGTTAGCACTTTATTTGTAATTCCAAAGGAACAACTAATAAATTCTATACCTTTTAAAGGCCTTTTGAACAGCTATCTGCATAAGAGATGTCCTCTCTGAATAGTCAGTCAAACTCTGGCTGTTCCAAAACTGATCCCTGATTGTTGGATCACTCTTTAGCACCAGTTTGGTTTTGTTCAGTGAGTTGATTGCTGTTGTCACTGAAAGTCCAGCAGCCAATCAGAGAACAAGGAAAGATACCATGCCCTTTTGGTGGGTGATTAACTTCTGGGATAACGAAAAGGTGAAACAAACACTTTCCTGACAGCTCACAAATGCAAACATTAAAAATGCAAGTAAGTATTAACAAACCTATTGATAAAAGCTGGCCTTAGTTTGGAAAGAACTGTTTTGATGAAGGACTAGAACTGGAATTAGTACTGTACATAGTGGTCAGGTTGAAAGCTTTTCTTAAATTCTCTTTCATAGAAGAGATTTTTATCTAATGTGGAGTCAGGTGACTGAGTTTTATATTTACAGATCCTGGCTAAACAGTAACAGATTACGTGTGCTGCCTAATTTCTACCTCTGTTCAAAACAGTTAAAAAGCAGTTTATACAAACTCACTTATTTTAGTGACACCCTCCAAAAGGCAGTGATGTGCTCTCTCCCTTGGTTGCATGTCCTCATCCTTGCACTGTTGGCCCTGCCCTCCTCTCCTGCCCTCCCAATGCAGTAACAGGAACACGGGAACCAGCAGTGCTCTGAGCCCCAGTGAGGAGTTGTTCTATCACTAAAAATGCATGACTTGTAAGGGAGGAAGCAGCTTGGACCACCCTAGTTAGGATTCCAAAACCCAAGGCCTAAAAGTGTTACTCCAAAATATTGCTGAATGAGTGGCCTGTCACAGGGCTCCACTCCAGACCTGGGGAAGACCTGGCACATGCCAAGTATCAGATCTTCATGACCTCATGGTGAGCCAAAGAGCCCACACTTTTACCCCTCCATGAACTCTGCAGTTACTCAAGGACCTAAGTTTCCCAAGGGCTGAAAGGTGTTGGGTATCAAACTTTCCCTGAGCTCTGGTGAGATTTGGACGTTGGAGATACATGAGCTTGAAAACATCAGTCCAGCTATGCTTTGTGACTGAAATGCCCAGGATGCTCATCATTCCATGACTGTATATCAAAGGAAAATGAAGAATGCCTTCTCAGTTATCAAGAGGTAAAGAAAGAGAAAGGTTATTTTGTGTCCTCTCATGAGCTCTGGTCTTTCCAAAGCTCTTTGGTCTTTCCAAAGAAATAGGTCCAAAGTAAGTCAGCAGGGTGTTATAGAGTCTGCTCCATACTAAAGGAAAAACTGTGTGATTTTTCCTCTAAATTAGCAGCTCAGTAATGCAGGCCACAGGATAAACCCTTTGCAGGTTTGGGAGCACCAAACTAAACCAAGGCCAAAATCAATGTCCTGATTCTGCCAGTCTTTTACTCACTATCACATTTTTCCTATTCCCAATCAGAATTAAAGATCAAATCCTGGAAAATGTTCCCAACCTATAAATATTCCTCCTTAAATCACTGGGGTTTATGTATAAGTGATTCCTTTGGATTATTTTGGAGTATTTTATTTCAAGCACCTTACTATAAGTAACATAAATTTTTTAAGACAATGTCATTTAGGAATGAAATTTGAAAACATAGAAGACAAACCTTTTTAACTGGTTTTTTGGGTGGAGGGAGGGGAGGGGAGGAAAGCTGAAAAAGTAATTTAAGCTTTTGGGACAAAATGCATTTAGCGGCCATTTTCCTAGCCAGTGGTCTTTGCCTTCAGAAGCAGGCTGATGGGCATGGACCCTGCCACTAGTCCTCCTGAGGCTTGTTAAGATGTTGATGTTTGCAGCTGGACTCCTCCCATTAACGTTAAAGAAGGAATAATGTTTAGTGTTAGAATTTCCCCAGGTGGAACTTCAGTCCCTTGACAACAGGGGGATAGAACTCTACAAAGGGTATCTCTGGGATATCACTTGTAGACCAGCTGCTTTTTCTATGATTACTTTCAACTGCATGGTGTTTAAAAGTCTCATAGAAAAATAGAAGTGCATGAATGGAAATAAAAAAATAAGGACATCTGACTTTTATAAATAAACAGTACAGCAAGAATTAAATAGAACATAGACATAGGACATTTATACAGGCATGAACTATTACAGCTTGTTCTCCTCAAAGAGTATCTGTGCGTAGACTGTCGTGTTGGGAATGCCTTTGGCTTCCTGAATCGGCTTCATAAGTTCAAGTTCAGCATATGTTAAATTCTCCTCTGCGATTTTTGGCTAGAAAACAGAACCAACAAATTAGTTGTAATGTCATTACCACTCAATCTAGATATTCTCTAGAATGGGCTATATTTCTTCTTTCACGCATGCTAATTCTACCATGCTGCTAAGTTCTGTCTATGTTGTTAATCAGTTTATTCTGCATTACAGTTAGTTCATAGAAGATGAAATAAAAATAACTAACATTAAAAATAAGAAACAGGAATAAGTAGGCTTTTCAGGTTCGTTTCTAATTTCTCCTTGTTTCAAAAACACTGAACATTTTGACAATTCAAATATTGCAGATTTGAAATATGTATGTTAGCCAAATGTTCAGCCTCCTTAATACTAAATTTTCTGATTTTATTTTTGTCGCATTTCACAATTTGAAAGATATATGCCAGATTTGCTTCCCAGCTGTAAACCTTGGACCAGTTACATCTCTAATCACAGTCATTCTCAGTGCCTCTCAGTATGTTTCTTCACAGAACAAAAAACATTAAAAATATACAGAAGGCAGAAAAAAATTCACAGAATTACTGCCATTCCAATGGAATTTCACCCTTTTTGCCAAGCTATAGATGAGTTCAGAGTTTAGAACAAAGGCCATACCACCAAAGCTGTCTGCTGTATTACAGTGGTTGAGTTTTAGACTGAAAACCATAAAATTTAGCTAAGAGAGGTGTCTATAAAAATGTACCAAGCAAATTTCACATGCATGGCAGAAGCTGCTGCTATTGGGGACTTCATCCAGACTCAGGTGGCTTAGAGGAGGAAAATCTTGTCTTGCACTCCTGTGCTTGACAGCTGCTCACACTCAGCGTTTCAGGTTGTTTCCCAGAGGGTAGAAAAGTTTATGCTTTTCCAGCATTAATTTGACTTTCTCTGCAGGTCAGATCCTCAAATACTTTATCCATTTGCAGGGCTGACCCCCTGCAGGACTGGCATCTCTGCATTTCATTATTCACATGGTCTTCCCTCCGTCCCCTGCGTGCATAGGTAGTCCTATTTGAACTCAGCTTTTGGTCCTCATTCACGATTAAATGCTCCACTGTTGATAACACAGAAAATTTCCTGCTTTCATTGAATTCTCTGATGTAATAACATAAAAGGAATTTCTGTGGATCCCAGACAGATCTTGACTGTAATAGAAATAAAATCACACATATCTTTTCGTTGTTAGTGTATTAGAGCTGAACTGAACCACAGTGTTTAGAAAGACATCTGCCCTATCCTGGCCTTGGCTTAAAGAGTTAGAAAAAACTCTTGTTCAGCTGCTGTGATCCTTAATTCATTTTTAAATTCCCTCTTCTTTCTATCCTGAAAGTATTAGCCTGAGTTTCCAGGTATTTTAGTAGTTTTTTGCTTTTTTGTACGTTAAAGATTCCTTTTGAGATTTCAAAACTATATATGCCCATCTATTCAGTAGGTAGTACAGAGGCCAAATGCAGGAGTTGATTTTATTCTCAGTGTATGATCTAGTTTCATCACACACCTAGTTTCTGTGTGAAGGTACTGGGAGTTTTGCTGCCAACTTCAGTGGGTGTCACATCAGACCCTCAATATATAATGATACACTGCATATGAAAAGCCACTTAAAAATGAAGGTGATAAAACTTTACAGACAAATTCTTGGTCACTGCCAGAGTAAAACTACATTTCTAAGACTGACAAAGAGAATCTGTTGAGTTAGAAATGTTTTCATTGTTCTATAGGAATCAGTTTCTCAGGGCAAGCCAAACCTGTATATGCTTTCCTCTTTGCTGTTTAATCATATTTCTTACACTTCCATTTAGAAAATGCTGCAGGTCCTAAAATAGCCACCCCAACGCCCAGCTCATGTAAATTTTAGAAGTAAGATTTATGAAATCATATTGTCCAGGTGTTTTATTATATTATCTCAAAATTGCATTGTTTTCCAGTGTAGATTATCTCTTTATTCTTACTTTATTCTATTATGTTTGGATATGAAAAATAACACTAGATTCCCCAAAACAAGTCATTGGGCAGTAGTGGCTGATGTGTTGCTTTCATACATTTTTATGATGTTCCTATAGTAAACATAATTTAATAAAGCCAAAACACACTAAATAAATAATTGCATCTAGAAAAGCAATAAAACCAAATAAAATTAGTACTTTCATAAGTGGAAAAGGTACTTCAATTACTGCTACAAGCAACAGCACACCATAAAATGTGTAGAATAATTTCCCTTATGCATATTTCTAGTATGTAATAATTTGATTGAAAATATGAGGAAACACACAGGAGGTTCAAAATTGTGAAAGGTATATAGTTTTCAGCAAAGGATGTGTAATAACAGTGCATGGAAGTCAACACTACTCTAAGTACCTATGGTAGCCAGGGTTTTATTCCATACGCTCTTCTGCACTTCATTTATCAACCACATGTTTAATTTAATTTTGCTGGTTTGTTTGTCCAAAACCAATTTCTTTTTGAGCAGACAGGGAAAGAAAACTAATTCTACCATTTCATCTCTCATTTAGACTGGATCATGTTTTGGCAGTGTAAACCTGGAGCCATGCCACCACCTCCTTTTTGGAACAATCGTGTGACTTTAATAACTGATCTTATAGGTGGGACGGATGGTAGGGCAGAAGAGGAAGAGACAGTGAATGACTGGCCATTTGCCTCTCTCTTTCTGTCCTGGCCCTTCACCTAAGAGGTCATTGGGATTTCTATGGCTACAACATCCTTTTCTAAAAAATTACATAGTTTTTCTAAAATAACACTGAAACAATTTCTTCAAATAGAATTCTATTCCAATGTGGCACTTCTAGATAACAGTATTTATCTTGTATGTGTTTTCTCATCTTGGGATCACACACTTTGCCACAATTAGGAAGAGTCATGATATTCCAGTGTATCTTTGGGCAAAATGATTCCTCTTCCAGATTTCTTCCATTTTAATTTTAGTTTATTCCAGTCACAGGGCTTCTCATGGGCAACTATTCAAAAGAGTTCACTTACAGGAACATTTTTCTTATTGAACTATCTGCAAGGTTTATCATGTGAATATTTAAAAGAAACTAAAGTATGTATATATATATAGTTTTGTTTTTATTGAGTTTGTCTATTTTGTGTTAGAAGTTAATTAGAAGGCTTGGGTTTTTAATCAAAATTATTCTGATTTTTATGTCAGAAAGGAATGTCAATTTTGCTCTTCCTAGGCTTAGCTAGTTTGTTTCTTGGCAGCCTCAAGGATATTTATTGTTTTAACTAAGAGTATTTTATCCAGATTTGTAATTAGTTATGAAGAAAAAAAGCAAATAATAACCTCATAAATTTAATTTGTCAGGAAAAACAACTGATGCCAACTTGTTCCAGATTGCTGCAACCTCACTGTTCCATGACTACACCAGTTATCATGAAGATGACAAAAAAAAAAAAAGTGAATTTCTAATTATAAAAGAAAATATCCTTGTTTCTACTTTACTATCAAGAACAAGCAGAAAAGGCCTGACTTCCCAGTTCCTTTCAATCTTAAATATTTTAGAGACTACTGCTGCAGACATTTGCCTTCAATTTCAGTGTCTATATAATTAATTACATCCAATGCAGTTTTTGTTTGGGATATGATACAGAATGACTTTTACGCAGGACCAGGGAAAAAAAAAAAAACTATTGATGAAATGGAATTTTCAGCTCTGAGTTTTCTGTATTTAACAAGTATCTGTCCCAAATTGTGTCCCTGCCCATGGCAAGGCACTTGGAACTAAAGATGATCTTTGAGGTCCCTTCCAACCCAAGCCATTCTGTGATTCTATGAAATTCCAGTTAGAGCCTCACAGTATTTTTAGTAACTCCAATTTCCTGCAGCAGCACCTGAAAATGAAACTCCACCCTCACTGGCATGCCCTGCACTCATGGGTGAACAAGTTAGGTTACCAAGGATAAACCCTGACAATTCTGCATATGTTTGTTGGTGTGATTGCCAGTACGTGGCAAATTGTCACCTATGGCCTGGCCATAGTGTTGAGTGCAAACTGCGGTGCCAGGGGATGCTGTAGGAAGCACAAATGGAGAAGCTACAGAGTCAAGAGGTGGTGCTAAGACTTGTTTGATAAATTTCTCTAGAAATTACACTTCTCTCCTGGCTAATCCACAGCACAAACAAAGCAGCCTCGCCCCAGTGCCATTAAGTAGCTCTTTCTTAGCAAGCACATCCTTGAACTATGATTTTTCTCTCTCCCTTTCTATTGCGTAAGCCAAACTTGAATCTTTGGCCTTCTTCCTTTCATGTTTGAGAAACATCCTGTTTTGTAGTCAGTCGGTAAAGAGCTCCACAGAAAAAATGCAGATACTGTCCAGATGGCACAGCTCAGGAGCATCCTGTGTCACAGCCTGAGCACTCTTCATCAGAAAGTGTCTAGACAGGACTCTCCGGGCTAACTCTGCATGGGCTCTGACCACAGGGACAGAGTGCTGGTTCTCTCTGCCTGAATGCCCACAAGGGAGGAAACTGCACGCTGTATGCAGCCTAAGGAAAAGGAGGTAGCCCACCTTCTCCTCTGTATATCTCCTTTTCAAAAGCATCTGTTTTTTGAAGCTGTGGGATGGCATATGGCTGCCAGCTTGGCCATCACTGGAGGGTTCAGTCATGGAGGTGAAGGTGAGGGTGGATTGAAATAAAGATCCAGCATGTTCGGTGGACAGGCTGAACCACTAGGACCAGGGGAGAGAGCATGTGCTAGCAGTGGGGTTAGGCACTGTAGCTTCAGAGACAAAAGCATTAACCTTTGACAGTCCTATGTTCAAATATACACCGGAAAACCACTCTATAATCTGTAGTCTTTCTTGTGCTGAAACCAGTAGTGTTCCTGAGGGCCATAGATAGACTTTATGCTCAGATCCTATGAACTTCAGTGGGATGACCCCCTCATTAAGGTAACATCTTAACTCAGGAGTCAGAAAGAGATTTTCTTTTTTTTTTAAGAGCTTCAACTGTTTACCAATGTCAGTGACTTGGCTGCAGTCAGAAAGCCAGAGATTCTCCT